ATATATATATATATATATATATACAGAAATATACACACAGTGAGATGGTTAAGAAGAGGGAAAAATAGTAAACAACAACGTCAACGCCTTGCGCATGTATGTCATGCTCCACAAGAAACGGGAATCAGGTGAGAGTGGGATTGACAGTGAGAGAAGGGGGGACGACACACCCATTCCCTCGCTCACAAGTCTGTTCTGAATGAATCAAGAAAAAACAACAACAACAGCAAATCACATATGCATATTCATTTATGTGTATCGACGCATTGCAGCTCGGAGACCACACCACTGCGTCCTCCTCCTCCTCCTCCTCCTCTTCATTCTTGGCTATTGCTGCTGCTCGTGACAAGACATATTCACCGTCTCCATGAGCGGCAGAATAGGGCGCAGGTACGGCGTCATGTGCAGCGGCTGCTCCTCCCCACCGCCGCTGCATTCGTAGCTGCGCGTGGCAGATGGCCCTCGCTCCGCTGTCATGAACACAAGGTCCCGCATAGCCCTACTCATCGCGACGTAAAACACCCGCTTCTCTTCCGCGCTCCGTGCGTCTATGGGGAACTCGCCCTCATAACAACAAGGCACAATAACGGCAGGCCATTCTTTTCCCTTTGCCTGGTGCACCGTCGTCACGGTGATGGATGCAGGGCGCCGCTCCGCCTTCACGCTACCCTGCAGCGGCCCAAAGTCATCGGTCGGGAGAAGTGCGAGGAACTCGTCAATAACACGCTGCACAATCGTATAGGCGTCATCCTTCACGTCGGTAACCGCCACCCCAATTTCCGCTGCATCCCGCACGCCAATGCCGTTGCTGGTACTGCTAATGCTGAGGTTATTGTCGTCACCGTCGTTCTTCTCGCTGCCACTGTCCTCGCCAGCGGCAGCGCACTTCTCCGCCAGCACCTGCTTCTGCACCGCACCGCACGCCTCAACAAGCAGCTGCGGGATTGACATGCCGTCAGCCGCCTCGCTGGTGCTATCATCGTCATCGTCGCCGCCGCCCATCTCGTCCCACGTCGCAGCCGAGTGACGACGCAACGTCGGCCCAGCAGAAAACCCACAGGAGCCAGATGAACGTGGCCGCTTCGTGCCACCAGACGCGTGCCGAGATATTCGCACCCCTCTCGCGCCGCCTTCATCAAAACCGGCACGCTCCGCGACGCCGCGCACTACGTCTTCCACGTCGCAGTACACACGTCCGAGGGCGTCGTGCGCTGCGGTGGTGACTTCTATGAGGACACGCAGAAACTTCTGCTGCTGCTTCGTCGTGCGCAGGCGTTCGTGCACGTGGGCGAAGCCGTTGTGCACCAACTCCCGCAGGATCGTGTAGTACGAGTACGCCGCGTGGCTGTCCTCGCGCTGGAGCTCTGCCGTGCCAAGCTGCCGCCGCCGCTGCAGACACTCCGCCTGCAGCGCAAAGACAAACTTCGTTGCGGCCGCCGCAGTGAAGTGGTTCGGTGCGTCGCGGATGACGCACTCCACGTCAAGGTTGGAGTGCGGGTGAACGCAGAGACGCAGGTACGACAGCATTGCACGCACCGACGCGGTGCTGTTCGGGGTGCTGCGGCGCAGCTCGCAGACCGGAAGCTGATCCCGATCAAGCGCCGCAACAACGTCCCGCACAGTGCGACGCGTGCGGCAGAGAATGGCGATGTCGCCGTACCTCAACGTAGAGTCTCGGGAGCGCAGGAGGTCCTCCACGACACGTGGCAGTAGCTGCAGCTGCTCACTCGCGTGTTGGCACTGCACAAGCGTGATGCGGCGGCCACAGTGCCCCTTGAAGCTCTTCTGCGAGAGGCGTGTCACCTCATTGACGGCGCCCACGATCTCCGCGGAGCTGCGGTAATTCGTCTCTAGCTGTACAAGCTTCGTTTGTGGGAAGCGGCTGCGCCACCGCTCGAAGCTGTTGGTCGTTGCCCCTCTCCAAGTGTAGATGCATTGATTTGGATCACCCACACACGTCACACGACACGAGTCGCCAGCGAGGAGCGCGAGGCACTCCAGCTGCACCTCGTTCAGGTCCTGGAACTCGTCCACCACGATGTGCGTGTATTGCGCCCGCAGCTGCATCGCCACTGGTGACGGAAGGAAAGGCAGCGGCGCAGAACTCATGCCACCTGCGCTACTGCCGTTGCTTGCGTTCTTCTTACCGTCACTGTCATTGTGAATGCCAGCGGTAGGAGTGACAGCCTTCTTCTCCTCCTGCTGCTGCTGCTGCTGCTTGACCGGGCGCAGCGCGTCGAGGAACATCTGCTCCAGGTCGCCGAAATCCACCGCGTTGCGCTGCTCGTGCAGCATCGTCTGGTAGAAGCGGAAGAGATACGCCGCCTGCCGCGACGGGTCGAGCTCCGCCCCGGCGCGCATCTCCTTCTTCGTCTTCGCCCTGTTCACGTACTCGATGAGCGATACCACCGCCTCCACGCCTTTGTGGTGCTCCGCGTGGGCCGCCACCACCGCCGTCGCGAGCTCGCGCTGCCGCCGTGCATCGTACACTTCTGTTGTGAGGTCGATGCGCCCGTAGCGGCGCAGGCACTCGAGCCCGAACGCGTGGAACGTCTTGAGCTTCAGCCGCTGCACCAGCGGTGCCAGCGACGGCGGCAGCACGACCGCCACGCGCTCCCGCAACGCCTCCGCGG